TATTTCAATGCCAGCCCAGTTTTTCCTCCTCTCTGCCACTCCCCACTCCCCCAGCATTCTACTGCCTGGTCGATAGATCAGATTGTGCGATTTCACTGCTGGCTACTTGCTGCCTTTTGAATAAAATCCAGACCCCCAGGTCCCTAGCCTGGTGGTCAGGGAACTCTCACCCTAGTTTTTGTTCCCTTATCCAACTGGATGTCTTAAATTCCAACCTTTTGAATTTCTCGTTATTTCCAAAACACACATCTGGTCATCCCCTGTGCCTTTGGCAGTTTATTTTTTCCATCTGGGGTGCTTCTCCCCCTTCTGTTCTCTAGGACTTCTCGTGCCTGTAGTTTCTCCTGTGGCATCTGCCCTTCTCTAGGCGGACTGTGGTGTGTGAGTTCTAGCTGTTGTGCTGGGGCCGTCATTTGTCTTCCTTCTCCTTTGTACATTGAAGATGGTGGTGTATTATTGCTAACGTTATTGTTTATTCTGGATAGAGGATCCCTCAACATTCAAGCAGAAATGCCTTTTTAAAACAAAGGAAAGGGTCTCTCTTCTCTGTGTCACTCAGGCTGGAGTGAAATGGCACGATCATAGCTCACTGCAGCCTTGAATTCCTTGCCTCGAGTGATCCTCCTGCCCCAGCCTCCCAAGGTGCTGGGACTGCAGGCTCGCACCACCACACCTGGCTAATATTTTAGAATTTTTTCAGAGACGGGGTCTTGCTATTTTGCCCAGGCTTATAAATACCTTTTTAGCCGTTTATAAAATCATCTGAAAATAATTTTAGTAAGCTGTTTGATTCTTTTATTGACATTTGTGTGATTCTGATATATTCCTTTTTATTTTAATCTCTTCAAATTCCCTTTATCAGATTCTGATATGATTCTAATAAGAGGAGTTAGACTTGACTAGAATAATATGCAGCTTGCTAAAGGTGATCTTGGTTTTGTCATTCTTTCAGATTCTGGATGAAATTGAAGAACATAACATCAAAATCTATCACTTACCTGATGCAGAATCAGATGAAGATGAAGATTTTAAAGAGCAGACTAGACTGCTCAAGGTAAAAGCTGGCTTCATGTACACAGTGTAAATAGCTCCTGTTTCCTGTTGTCTGTGCATTTAAAATGAAAGAGAAGGCAAAGGACCAAATATCCTGGAAGACTTGGCCTCTGAAAGATCGTCTGGGTAGATTCAATTACAGTGGTATTTTTGCTTAAGATATATTTTGACATAGCTATTTTCTAAGCCTTAGAAATTTTATTGCAGGTTTAATTTGTTTCCATATAGTTTGTCCCACGTGGAAAACATCCCACACGTCCCGGGAAAGTGTTGCCTGCCCCAGCTTTCCAGTCACATTCTGTAGTAAACAGCAGTGTGCCGAGTCTGCACCAGTTGCCTTGTGTTTGCAGTGAGCGTCGGGTTCTCTGTGTAAGGCCTACCATGTGTCCCTTTCTAGGCCAGCATCCCATTCTCTGTGGTTGGATCCAATCAGCTGATCGAAGCCAAAGGGAAGAAGGTCAGAGGCCGCCTCTACCCCTGGGGTGTTGTAGAGGTGGAGAACCCCGAGCACAATGACTTCCTGAAGCTGAGGACAATGCTCATGTGAGTTGTCCGGTGCTCCCCCTGCACAGCCTGGCTTGGCGAGTGTGCGTGTCCTCCACGGCAGTGCAGCAGCAGCCTCACGGTGCATCTGCAGGGCTTCCTCGTGGTGCTCAGGTGGCCGGGGGACTGCCGACGCTCGGTGCCGAGGACCCTCGCCTGGGGGCTCTCTGTGACATTACTGAACTAGCCTCTTCCTCCTGTGGCCTGTAGCTTAGCACCTCTGCTCCCTGCTCTCTAAGATCTCCTATCTTTGAGGCTAACAGGAGTCTAGACCC